TTCCCTAACAATAGACTTGACGAAAACGCCGTAGCGCGTTGCCATTCTACAGGAATGAATAAATAAATAATCTTGAATGACTTTGAGTGCATACAACATGAGGTACAAGGCCAACGAAGCCTCTTGGCTCACACTACATGAACTTCATTGCGCAGGTGGATTTACGCATTTTCAATTGAGCCACTCTACCTTGTAAACTTCTCGCCGGCTAATCGAAACCAAAAATGGTCGCCCAACATGTTTTTCTTGTCACCTGAAGACGAAAGCTGGTGTGCTTTATGCGACTCAGCGCCGCTAGATCGAGTTCTCGCAGCCCTGGCGCAGTTGTTTAGACGACAAATCACAAAAGGCTGCAAATAAGGTCGAAGCGACTTGAGGATGCGACTTGAGGTTCATTATGCGAAACAAACAACAAGGTCGCGTAACGTCAAAAACCGTGCCATTTTCGCTACGTTCCAAACCTGAACATAGCACTTCAGCCTCATCTTAAATTGCCTAGCAAATATGCAAATTAGCTAACAAATATTCGACATAAGATTTCTTAAACTGAAAAAACTTCTCAGATGCCGACTTTCAGTGTGGCTAGTAGCGAAAATTACACTAAGCAATAACCAAAGTTTCTTTAACTGAAAATAACGATTCTGGCACAACACTTTCCCCGACCGATGAATGACCAGAATTTTAACACAATCAAAACAAGCAATAAAACTTTTCCTTGACAACAAATTATCGAGAAATTTCGACAACCATTTCATTTGAGTTTTTTTTTTAACTAACAGCTCCATGTTTAGCGAAACAACCACAGTTACGTAACACGTTGTCCTAAAAGTGTCAAACAATATTATGTAACAGCAAAACAGCGGATATGATCGACCAACTCTAATTTGCCAGTGCATAATCTTATTTACCGCCACAACCCGCAGCTTGCTTACGCAATCCATGGGTTAAAAAGGACTTAAGAGAGTTCAGCTGAATCTAAATCTCATTCACCTAAATCTCTGAAAATCGAAATGCTCGTTAAATTTTTGAGGAAATAATAGTTTAGTCAGGCCGCGTTTGGTTCCATTGTTATTTAAATGTGCCAGAAAGTGTTGTTTCGTCTATTTCCTCCTCTTCTATTTTGGATTTTCGAATAGATTGTGACCCCTCATAAAGATAGCGATTTTTCAGTTTAGTTAAGTACATGTAAGAAAATCTTTCACAACCCTATAAGTGAGGAAAAAAGAAAACGTCACCAGCAGTCACGTTTTTCTAATGAATGGAGGGCTTCCATGGCAAACTGATCGACACTAGAAGCGGCAAATACTGGAGAATTTTTATTCAGATGTACGCGTTGAGCAAAACGGAAGCAAAAGCAGATTTAAAACATTTCATTGGTCGATTACACAATATCCAGACAGTCTTTTAAGCTGTACTTCCAAAGGCAGCTTACCATTACGTGGACTATAGGCTTCTTTGTGATACAGAGAGGTTAACTAAGAAGGGTTTAAGCACTAAAGCCTAGAAAAGGTAAGACTAATAGAGCAAATTATTTTTGCTATAGAGCGGTGTTCAATCAACTGTCGAAAGTAATGAAGCAATTACTTTGGTTTTGGCCGTTTTGGTTTTGGTATTACACCTGTACTAGGGTCTGAGATAGGCCGAGTAGCCTAATTTTTTAAATAATTGGTTAGGTTCTGGTTTTACGACACTCACATGAGAACAGCTCTATTTACTACATCATAAGGTTTTTCGAATCTCGCGTCGGAAAATACTACATGTAAAAGAAAAACCTTGCGAAAAAGCGATATTTCTTACGACTCACGTGCCAGTTGTTTGTTTAAGTTAAAGTTCAATGAACGAAAAAAAAAACGAAATCAATTTACTTATGTCAACTTGAAATGCATACGAAAAAGCGAATGTCAAAGATGAATTATCGAAAAGAAACTGCTCTAAATTAAGAGGAAAGAAATTTACGTTACGTAATCGCGACCCCTCCCGCATCAAATTCAAATAAAGCGTTATACATTTGTTTGAGTTTGGTATTTGCCGGCGGGAAGTCCTTATCAAGCCGGAGAAACTTTTTCCCGAGGTGTCGATATATATATATATGGACAGAACAAAGCCGGCAAATAACTTTTTTTATTTTTTGGTTGTAGCAAGACTGCGAAAATTACTATTAATAATAGCAAAAGATTTTAAAATGTGCAGAGTAAACCAGCTATTCAAAAGCCGGCGCACACTCAACAGCGAGGAAAAACGTTTTTCATGATACGCCGGGACCGAACAGATTCCCAATCACCGAGAAGAAGCTGGAAATTACGGCACACAGCGAAGTATCTTTGACCAGATTCGCGGTATCAGCGATATATCTAAGAAGTGGAAGAGTCCAAATCTTAAAAACATATGGCATTTTCGCGCGACGACATAAAAATAAAAAATATGACCAATAACAATGATCAATACTAATTGAGAAACGGTCACCACGAGTGGCGATTTATCATAGTTATAATGTTTACCGTTATAATTTAATGAGATCAACTGCCTCACAAAATTAACAGTGCGTGAGCACGAAAAGGTCGAGATGGCTGCCCGATTGGCCCCTAATAACAGCGCTTTAACTACATAGCTCATTAGCCGATAACCTGACTGGCAGGTGCTCTAGTCTATTAAAGATACGTGTTCAGCGTTTTCTAGGTCGGGAAATTATTTTCCGGTTTTTAAAAGCGACAGACAGGTTGTTACTAATCGGCGTTTTTTGTGGTGGGAGGGAGGAAAAGAGACCAGGGTGATAAGCACCCCAGTGAAACAAGTAGTAATTTGTTAGCCTAAATAGGGCTCCGATCAGTAGTTTGCCCGTAATAATTTTAAGGGCTCTCAAGAGATTTTGACCTATTATAATCTCTTGGGGCTATAATCCGCGCAAAGAATTTTTTCAGTATATATTTTATATAGCCCTTAAAATTATAACAAAACGGCTGACTAGTGATTGGAACGTTGTTGAAGTTATTTTTTCTGACGTGAAACTGGCTCGTTCTGTCACGTTTGTTTTGTTTTGTTTTGTTTTGTTTTTTTGTTTTGCCACGGAGTCGTCTGAAATAAAGTCGACAACATTTTATAGTAATACTAAATACAATCTCCAAAATAGGTACACATGCATCAATTTTTCTTTTTCGATTTCCTTTTCAGAAATCTTTTAAAATTTATTTGGAGTATCGTTCACCAGGCTTTGGAGGTCAAAGAATAAGCAGTTGACTTACAGGCGATGGCGGTAGGAAATTCATCTGCCTCTCGACCAAAAGGATGCCATATGGGCAAAGAGATAACCCCTTCTGTCAAAATCTTTCTGGGTGTCTTTATTATTCTTTTGGCATTAATCGGCGTAATTGGTAACACCATTGTCATCATCGTGCTGAGAATTAAAAACATCTTCACTAGAAAGGCTACGAGTTTGATTTTAACGAGTCTTGCCGCAGTAGATCTACTTGGTAGCATGGTGGACATCCCACTAGCTTTTGGCATCATGGTTGCAAGCCTTCCTGATGAACAACTGTACCGCCTATCTCTAGCTAAGGTTGTAATTGGTCCATTGTTCTTCCTGGGTTACATTACCTGCTTCTTCTTGCTCAGCTTGGATAGGAATGACGCCTTAAGAAAAACCTCAAACCGGCCAGCGTTGTTCACACCAAAGCGATTAGTTATAGTGTTAACTCTGTCACTTATATTTGGTATTGCAATGTCTTTGCTGTTTGTTTTCAAAAGCGAAGATCCAAGTCCTCTCGTTCCACTAAGAATGGAGCCACGATTATTAACAGTCATCCGAGCAGTGTTATTTCTAGTCTTCGTGATTGCCTTCTTCTCGAACATTTATTTTTATCTGAAGATAAGAAGACTGATTAAGAACCATTCAGAAAATGGAGCCGCCGGTTTCTCTCAGGTACAGAGAGAAAACTGGCAAGTGAAGGAGAGGAGAGTTTCCTGGACAGTGATTCAACTCATCCTGGTTGTGTGTCTTTCGTATATTCCTTATACCGTAACTTCGATTATCTTTTTGAACGCCGACATTGTCGACATGCGCGTATTGAATGCCGTAGCTGTGTGTCGCTCGCTAACCTATCTTAAGTACGCTGTCAACGCGTTTGTTTTTACACGACTTGATGGAAAGTTTCTGAGGGTTTTCGTTGACATATTTCGACGATTCCACTCAAACAAAAGAAAGATCGTCGCAAAATCACCCAGCAGAGGAGTTCATAGCAAGAAGAAAGAAGAACATCCGGACGCAGCAAAGGTTGGTGATATCACTTAATGACTTGAAGCGACTTCAAACGCCAAAGACTCCTTGAACGAGAAAGGCCATTCTTTAACTTCTGGACATGAATTCTGCCAGTTAGTAACACTAACTGTGAGAGAACTGATTAATCTGGCTGAAAATGACGGACGGGGTTCAAAAACTGAGTTTCCCCTACCAACGATATTAATAACATTACCTCAAGGAAAAACGGTGATAGTAAAAGATAAGAAACATCGAAACTGGAGGAACTGGACGAACAAGCAGCACAATCTGCGACATAGCAGGGGCAGAAAATCCAACAGCGAAAAATTAGAAGCTGAGGAGTAAGAAAGCGATGAACACACCCAAAATAAACGGTTGACTTGTGGGCTGAATAAGCAAATGCCTCTCATAACTGATGCATTGGATGAAGTTCTAAGTCGGGAAGAAAGCCTTTTAACTCAGCGAACTACTTTGAACTCTTTGTGAAACAGGTTCATTTCCGTTTCGGCTGCCATCTCTTAGAACGACCTACAGAACTGTTTCTTATTTTATAAAGATAATTGTGTATGGTTTGAAACCGCAGGAGGAAGTTGTTTACAGAATTAAAAACAAGTTGCTCACCTGCTAAAAGCAATTAATCAGATATATTTTACGACAACTCGAGTCGAATTTAAGCCAACAAATTAAAGTTGTGAAGTTCTTTTAAACTGCGATTTCATATCTTTATGGTGGCAAAATCAGAAGACATTTTTCTAAAACTTCCTTCACTGAGAGGAGGTAGTGGGATATGTTAATATATTTGCGCCCTTTGTCCCTTCTGAGCGGAATTTAATCGA